AACTCAGCAGTATGACTATTCAGAGATCCGAGTTCAGCTTCAAGGCAAACTGAAAGCACCAAAACAACATCAGTAAATCCAAAATTACAGCAGGAGTCGTAAAAACAAACAAACCTGAGACCACATTTATCTGATTTTAGCTTCTCTTCATTAGCATCCACTCTAAACTTAACAGAAAATGAGAGCATTTTGTTCTATTAGCTTGTTGTGTGCCAGACACCCTGTTAAATTTTCAATTAAATTTAGTAATGGTTATTTATCCCAAATATCAATGAAATGTCATAACTTATATCATCTATTCATCTTAAAGTATGGTACAATGCAGCTAAGTTCTGGAAGTTTCACCAGTAGCAGTCAATTTTGCAAAAAATGTGAAGAGGCCTCTGACTGAAGACTGTTTGCTTTATGACAATTTTATGACTGCTATGATGCACAAACACATCTTAATGTCCATGCAGCAGATATAATATTCCACATGTCACCATGGGTTGCTGTCCAGCTCTGCTAATCCACCTCATTTGCTTTTGCCACTCCTCTTTAAACCTTATCCTGAGACTAAGATTAAAATTTTCCTTTTTGACAAAGGCAGTGGCGTTGCCTTTCCTGAGCCATCCCAGTAGTTCTGATTAATTCACAAATAGAGGACAAATTAATCTGACTTTTCACAGTCTCTTATGCCTTCTCCACCGACTCTTGCAGTGCTCACTGTAAATATTGCTATTAAATCTACACTTTCTCTCTATTGTTTATTGTCATAAAAAAGAATGGCAAACCCAGCACCTCACTCTGCTGGAGGCTTTGACCTGCTGCTCTCCACTGAGCTTGGCTCAGTATGATTGCATTAAGCCACGACTTGATGCGATCTGCTGGTTTCTTTACAGAGACAACCGTTTACTAGTTGGTATTATGTGATCTACTGCATTCCATCATTAAATATACCCAATTGTCGTGCAGTGATTGAACTTAACTGCAATGCACATGGGCACCTGGAGAGAAAACTGAACACATTCGTCTTGATATTAGCTTAGTTACCATATAAATAAGATCAATTATCTAACTGAATACAAAGATGAAAGTTGATTTTAGCAACCATGATTGTAAATTGAAAAAGATTACAGTCAGTAACCCGACAGCGTGATCGTCTTCCCAACTGTATTGTTTTTTCTGCTCAAATGAAGCGCTACACAGCTAGCACTATGGCACACAGCTACTAAGAGTAGTAAGTATCAAGCCAAATAAACGTACGTATTTGTCAACCAATTCACCGAAAAATACTTTTTGTGTACATTACGTAGCTACATCTATGTTTTCGAGAGTAACTTCGAACTTATCAGGTATTAAAAAGACGAACACAGTCACTTTATGCGCATTTAACAGGGAGGCGCAGCCATATTTGACAAAGCTAACGGAGCATAATTACCCTGATTATTTTTTAGGACATATCCAAAAGTTTGCGTTACACATAAATTAATTGTTAACAAAACCCTTTTGATACATCACTGAAATAAAAAGGCCTTCCAAAGACATTTCGTAAACTAACTCCAGAGCTTTCAGTACAGTTACATGTTAGCCAGTGTTATCCGGTTAGCATTCAGAGTAGCACAACGTTGCTAATTTGGATCACGGTATGTCAATTACGGGTTTCAATATCACACCTGTCCAAGATCAATCCCGATAATTATTGGTCACACAAAGAAGTAAGCATGTGTGAGTTTCTCGCCATTAAATTATGTCATTACTGTCCACTCAAATAAGCCAGCAACACCCCACGGCCTAACATTCCACTTACAAGCCGCGGGTCTCGAGTTCCAGGAGAGCTCTGAGGCCGCACCGCAGCAGCGGACACTCACCATAAGCGACACGGGCCCAAGCTCCTTATCAGCTTCGGGGCGAAGTTTTTCTTCGTCAAAAGAAGCGACACCCAGCTTTGTGAATATCAACCTATTCCACACAGATAATGACGTTCGGATCCGTTATAATCACCGATGTCAAGGGTGATATTAAGAAGCTCCCATCTCTATTCAGCGAGTCACAAAACAGAGTGACAGGGTGCGCTTAGCTGACCCGACTGAACGCAAGAGCTGAGTTAAGTCTGTGGCGTTCAGTGTCACGGTAGAGCTCGGAAATAGCTATTTTTAAATGTCGTCTATCAAATCAATTCTACTAAAGTTATTGCATTTGCAACTGTTTCTTAAGTTATATTGTTAATCCGGGCATAGATGTGGCATGTTTTGGCAAATGGAAAGCTTGCCGTGTTTTTCCGAGTGGCTTGATGCTTCGAGACTGCAGCGCACCCTGCAGTCTCGAAGCATCGCAGAAGGTAAAATGTTTGTTTCCTGCTGATTTAAAACATGAAACGACAAAATTTAAACCATATGATCACAAAAGAAAAAACAAAGTTGGATTTGCACGCTAAAACAATAATCTCTTTTCTGATGAGAATTTCCACTTTCTAAGCAGGCCCTGCGACATGGTTGGGCAGTGGGGGGCACTGCTCGCCCACAGAGTCTGCCATGACCCTGCTGGACTGGAAGCTATTTCTTTGATTTTTACCTCAGAGTGGCCAATTTTCTATTATTCCTATCTCGAGCTAATACAGTGGGGGCTCCCACACTTCCCGTATCGGAGCCCTCTGCCTCCCTCACTTTTTTCAGCCCTTCCTACTGCTTAATCCATTGTTAACATGCCGTAACGTGTTTTTCCGAGCCGCCTTTAAACTCAACCTGAGCGCTAAGATGCTCGCGCCGGTGTGTTTTACCTGTGCGGCAGGAACGTGCGGCACGCTGCTATGTGTCAGAATCATGGCAGAAAACCTGCAAAGGCAAAGACGTCCCCCCCCCTAAAGTTAACCAAGTCAGTTAAATAATGTTTTTAGATGCTGGTAATGTTAGCTTAATGATGACTAGCTAATGCCAAGAAGTCATTTTAAGCTTGATAACAAGAATAGATTGCTGATATTGTTATATATGTTCAAAAGTGGGTTGTACTGGTTACGTTTACTTGAGTAACTTTCTGGGAGGATTACTTATAAGACTAATTTCACTTAACTGTACTTTTTTTTTCTTTTGGATAATATTTCTTCTTTTACTTGAGTAGATTGACTTTGCATTCAAAGAAATACACTCGATACATTTGAAACCTTAGATTTCTGTAACATATAAGCTGTTAATGCAAATTTGAGCATAACTACTCAACATTAACATGTCACTGTTTGCATCTTTATTTTCTATGCATTAAAAATCAATCAATCAAATTTTATTTTTACAGCACATTTCACCAGCAAGGCATTTCAAAGCGCTTTGCATGATAAGAATACAAAGTCATGCAACATAGAATCAATTTTCAACTTGAGTAACTTTATGGGGGGTTAAATATTACATTTAACTAAGTGCTATCATTAAGTTCTTAATTGATTATGCTTCAAAAGCAACTCTAAAAAGGTGGGTTTTAGTCTAGATTTAAAGGACCTCAGTGTTTCAGCTGTTTTGCAGTTTTCTGGAAGTTTGTTCCAGATTTATGGTGCATAGAAGCTGAATGCTGTTTCTCCTCATTTTGTTCTGGTTCTGGAGATGCAAACCAGTCCAGAATCAGAAGACCTGAGAGGTCTGGAAGGTTGAAACAATAACTGCAGATCTATAAAGTATTGTGGTGATGAGCCGTTCAGTGATTTATAATCTCACATCAGTGTTTTAAAGTCTATTCTCTGAGTTGCAGGGAGCCAGTGTAGGGACTTTAGAACTGGTGTGATGTGCTCTATCTTCTTGTTTTTAGTGAGAATGTGAGCAGCAGCATTCTGGATCAGCAGCAGCTGTCTGATTGATTTGTTAGGCGGACCTATAAAGACACTGTTGCAGTAACCAAGGCGACAAAAGATAAACTCATGGATGAGTTTCTCTAGATCTCGCTGAGACATTAGTCCAACTTCTGCAGATGATAGAAGGCCGACTTTGTAACTGTCTTTATGTGGCTCTGAAGGTTCAGGTCAGAGTTCTTCAATACTCCCAGGTTTCACTTCCTGATTGCTGGTTTCAGTTGTAATAACTGAAGCTGTGCGCTGGCTCTAGATCATACATCTTTAGGTCTAAGTAAAGTAAATGTCCAAACTATCTCAGTCAATGAGAATATTGATTGGAAGGTAGAAGTGTGGTCAAAAGTGTAGATGGTGCATGTGGCTGACATGTACATGTCATGCATGCTTCCTATGCGTCATGTATAAACTGAAGAAGTTTACACATATGTCCAACCTATCTTCTTCATTTCGTCAACATAAATATTTCTGCAGGTATCTTTCTATTTATTACAGAGCCGCCTGGGCTCTGTAATAAATATTGCACACAAAGTTTCTCCATTGTGAGATAATAAAGAATAATTCTATTCTATTCTAAATAATTCTATTCTATTCTATAGATGAAGAATATTTATGGATGTCCCATATACAGTAGCTGCAGAATAAATATTGAAGCTATTTATTTTTTGCCTATGACAAATATGTTTATTTTTAGTTGAATTTTACAGCAGTGTATTAGGACTATTATAGATCTAAAAAAAAATAGTACATTTGTACAAGAAAAATCTGAAAATTTCTAGAAAAAGCTCAGATTTCTGAGTTTGACATGTCGGAAACTTACTAGAAAAAAAGACATTTTATACACAAAACTCAGATTAATCTCAGAGTTTTTTCTAGCAGTTTTTTTTCAAAGTCAGAAATCTCCTAGCTTTTCTAGAAAAAATCCTGAGTTTTTCTTGTAACAAAATTTCAACTTTTCAAAATTCCTTTTCTAAAATTTTCTTTAATTTCTTAGATTAATCTCCTCTTTCTTCTATCTACAACGGGCCTAATACGTCGTTGCAATTCTATGCGAAATATAGAAATTATTTTTGAAGAAATAGTTCACCACGCGCTCAGTTTTTGCATCCCAGAAAGCGTTTAAATATGGATTTATATATTTAGACAGAAGGGGGCAGCAATCTACACTCTTCTGTCCGATGAGCGTAGAAGAAGAAGTTTCTCGTGTTCTGTTTGTGTTCAGTAGCAACTGGCTAGGCTAAGCTAACCGGGTTGGCAGCTGCCCGCAGAGATGTTCGGCTGTTTGGTGGCCGGCAGGTTGGTCCAGACTGACGCGGTACAGGTCGCCTCTGATAAATTCGTCTTTACTTTGGCGGATTTTGAGAATGTGAACCACGTGGTAGTGTTCATGCTGGGAACCGTGCCTTTCCCCGCAGGAATGGGAGGAGCCGTGTACTTCTCCTTCCCGGACCCGGGCAGCGGCGCTCCTGTGTGGCAGTTGCTCGGCTTCATCACCAACGACAAGCCCAGCGCAATCTTCAAGATCTCCGGCCTGAAGGGTGGGGAGGGTGGAGCGCACCCTTTCGGCTTGATGGCCTCCGTGTCGCCATCCGTGGCCCAGGTCGGCGTGTCTGTTGAAGCTCTGGACCAGCTGGCTCAGCAGATCCCAGTGTCCAGCGCCGCGGTATCCACTGTGGACACGTTCATGCAGTTCACCCAGAAAATGCTGGACAGCCTCTACAACTTCGCCTCCTCGTTCGCTCTGTCCCAGGCGCAGATGACGCCGAACCCCACGGAGACCTTCATCCCCTCCAGCTGCATTCTCAAATGGTATGAGAACTTCCAGAGGAGGATGGCGCAGAACCCGAACTTCTGGAAAAGCTGAATAATCAAACCAGAACCTGGTGCAACCTAAGCCACAGTGCCTATCACAGTCTTCTGCCGTCAGACCGGACACTCTTGTGTCCCACAGTGGACATGTCAGGCTCTTTTGTGACTGTCTCAGTCTAGACTGAAGCCAGAGGAAACTTAGAGTTCCTGACTGTCTGAACACCTTTCATCCTGTCCTCACGAACTTGTTCACATTCAGTCCACTGATTGACCAACACAAGTGATTTCTAAATAAAACCTGATCTGCCCTAAAACTCACCATGTATTCAGTTCATCCTATGAGAGGGAAGTCTCCCGTTACTGACCTCCTCATAGCTAAAGTAATGTTATAGCTTTTTGAATTTGAAATTTACTGTCTAGTATACTGTCACAGCCACAAAAGGATATTGCTAAAGAAAACTGGATGTTCAGAGTGCTGTATCCAAGCAGCTTAACAGAAAGTAAAGTGGATGGATAATGTGTGCCAGAAGATGTGCACAAGCAACATGGATAACAGCCCACTCAAACATTAAAAAAATGCATTCAGACTCACAAGGGGTTTGAAGCTGGATTCAGTACATAAAGCCTGGGCAGCCTATGCTGATGTCTGTAATGGTGATTGATGTCTTGCAATAATTTCCAAATGTGTCTGTTGCCAGGCACCGGAGAACACCTTGACGACTCCAGTGAGCTCCACGACCTTAATAGGTCAGTTTTTTGTTTTTTTTGCAGCACAGCCATGGAGTGAGGCTCCAGGACCATGTAACCACAAAATACTTGTCATGAAGTGTCATTCGGTAACTGCATTGCTTTCAGAGCAATGCAAAGTTGCTCTAAAAGTTGCTTTGAAAGTCCATTAAAAGGGCCAACTTTGCATTAAAAAGTGTCATTATTTACTGAATGACACTTCCTGACAACAGTCATAAACATTCATAAAGACTATTTCATGTTCATGACAGATGTTATGTCATGTTCATGTCAGTGTAATGTCAGTCTTATGCACACTCTGTCAAATAAAGTGCTACCGAAAAAAATCATGTTTTGATTTTATTATTAGTAGTATTATAGTTACATAATAGCTACTTAAACACAGTTTACAATTTGAAGTGAAATTATGCATAAGCCTTTCGAGGGAACACACCCAGCCTGGCTGAGTTTCAGGATGAGTCAGAGTTTGGTTCTAATCCAGATGGATTCCTTACTGACAGGGTGTGTTTGTTTTCCCCATTTTGCAGCAACACAGTGAGAGAGTTTAACAAAGCTGTTCAGAGACTTCACAAACCCTCCAAATCAGTAAAAATAATAAAGTGCATCAATATGTTAGAGGTCGGTTTGTTTAAGAAATAAAAAGCAGCCTCAAAGGTGCATTAAGTAACTGAAAAACGAATTAAAATCAGAAATGTAAAAAAAGAAACAATACAAAACAAATGACACAGGACCAGATTTTACAAGGTATGAGATGGCAGATATCATGATATCATACCAGGCGGAAACATGTTGATGTAACTTAATTGGCTGAAAACTAATTTGGTCTCATTTCCAAACTTCACAAAACAAACCTCAACATTCACAACCAATACTAACTGTGACATCATTCTATCATTTTTACTGATTGTTTTTATTTTTTTATTTGCATATTTTACTTTTATGTATTTTTTGATAGGTTATTCACTTTCACTACTCTTTCATTTATTTACTTAATTAGTAGAGTGTTACTGGCTGAGTTAGTTTGTTGATTTAAATATTTTAACCGGAAAGTTGAATTATTTTTGCTAATAAGTGTTTACATTTTGGAGATATGCTTTGAGTTTATTCTATAAGTGGAGAGCTATGTTGTTTGAGAACACTAGTGTGGAAATTAATCTTTGATCTGTTGTTATTTAATATCTAAGCCTTATCAGGCAGGTATTCATAAACAATAGCTAAGAGTTAAAACTATGTGAATGTTATTTCCTGCTAATCAGGAAATAACTGGCTTACTAATATTGTTCTAAATGATTACTTTGTTAAAAATTGCCTTGGCTTTTTTTCAAGTTCACTGCCAAAGTAAACCTACCATTACCAAACACTGAACCGTAGGCAAATTTCTCTGACAAAACGTGGCAAACGTACACCTTCATCCATTCATAGATTGTTTGCCCCATGTCTCACATAGACCTTTTCAGCTCCACCCTCAAATTATACCTAAGACTCTGTTTTGGGTTAGTGATGGCTGGATCAGAACATGAACTCTGTTGTGTTGGAGGAGGGCTGCTCTGTGAAGCAGAAGCTTGGAACCTTCTGCTTCACAGAGAGGAGCTTCCTCTCGAAGGCGGAGCTAGGTCCAACTGGCCATTTTGTTGGTTGGACCTAGCTGAATGGTCCAACCAGATCAAAGGATCCCTCAAACATGCATGAAAGAATCATGGCAAGTTTTAATGATCTCATTAAAACTCCAAAATCCACTTGTTTAGTTTGATTTTTTTTTCACTCTGGACTAAAATTGCATCTTCATTTAAATACAGAGTTTAGCAGTCCAGACTCGCACATCTTTGCTTTGGACTCGACTTCTTACTTTCATGTACTTACTTCGACTTGACGTGAGACATAAAGGGGAAGACATGAAACGGCAGTTTTATAGAAATCCAACCAGAAACATCTGAGCTCTCAGTCTAAAACAGTTCAGTTACAGATGCCAAGGGTCCGCCTGAAAGTGGCTGCTAGCAAAGAGCTCTAGGATCACTTCTGAGAATTCCTGCAGAGGAAAAGATGTGAGTCATGAGAAGTGTGAAGGGTGGGTCGGGATCTTAGAATGCTTTTTGGTTCACATGGCAAATGATTTCCAGACAGAACAAAGCCTGACCCTTCAAACAAACATGCACAAAAGGACAAAAGTTTGCACAGCAGCACTGAGACAGCAACACACCCAAGAAAAGACTGACCAGGTTCCAACTTATTTTGTGAGGTCTGTCGTTCATTTATCCTAAAATTTGTATTTATTTGTATTTTTTTCCCCAAGAGGTTTTAAAAAACATCAGAACAAACAATCAGTAGGCCACAGAAAAACATGTGCATACATAACCAAGAACAAAATACTTTGTTTTATACTATTTTTCTGTTTGAAAAGAAGTTGGAAGACGTGAAGACTTATTTAATCCTACTCCTTATCTCAACTTAATGAAATATAAGTTACTACTAGTATATTACTAAAATTCATTTGAACCCCTTTTCTTTTTATGAATAAAAAACTAATATTGCAGAGATTAAATCAAACATTCTTTAGGTTTGCCTTAGCTGTCGTATAAACAAATTGCCGTTATGATTTAGTTACAGGAACAAGTTTAAGCCGGAAAACAGGGCGTGGCTCTGCACTTAAAAACACTCTCATGTTCTGCAGCCTGACACTGAGCTGCTCTCCAGCAAACAGGTACGTCTCTTTTCCGTTTCTTACACTTGTGACTGACTCTTCCCAGAAAAAGCAACCAGTTCTGGTAAAACTTTCCTGCACAGATTTGAACTGACTCAGAGATCGACATTATTAAACTTGTGAATCGTTTCATTGAGATGGCCTGAGGTCATTTCACTCTGTCAAGGAAAACACAGAAATAGGAAACACTTTCATTTGAGTTTGAAGGCGTTGATACTCTGGATTTGAAAGAAGTCTGGTATTGAATAAAACCCAGTGAGTACCAAAATAAGTCAGGTATACACAGTAACCATGTGTACACAGATAGACATGCAAATATACAGGGAAGTGGACTGCAACCGCACCCAGATGCACAGGGAACAGCCAGGAAAGGAATTTACTGAGAAAGCCAACCATTAGCTGCTGAATGAACATCTGACAGAAATGTGAGTTTTAGTGCTATGGTATATTGATTACTGGCATATTAGTTACATGAACAGGTCTAAGAAAGAAAATAGACCTGTTTCCAGAAAACAGCAGGAAAACAGCTTTCCTACTGTACATAAAGTACTTTATAAAGCACATCAAACAAACATGGCTGAAATTGAGTTTGCAGAATGTTTATTGCCTTATGTCTTTTTAGAAGTGAAAAAAACAACGACATTAGTTTGTTGGGGGGCAAAAAGAACTAAAGCAAGACTTCTGTGGATCTATGTGAAGATATTGGCTGATGAATTCAGAAGTTTAAGAAAACAACATTTGAAATTAAATTGCAAATGTGAAACTTCAAACATTAATAATGGATTATTGATCATAGACAAATCTTCTGCCCACTGTCACAACATTTCCCAGAAACACTTGGGGTGAGGGATTACATCAGAGAGAAGATGTGACACAATGTGTGGTTTTTTCTGCATGACACATGTTAGTGTTTAAGGATGTTAATGAACTGAAAAACACAATTTAAACTGATTTGAATTAACCCTCTTCAAATATCCCCACTTCTACATTTTGCATTTATATTAATTTGTAAAAACTATTTCCTAATTTATAGGAAAAAGAATTTTTTTTCTCACCTGTTGTTTATTTTCTGCTTCCAGTTGGACTTCAGCTCACAGTAGAGCACAATGGATGTAAGTCTGATTTACTTATTGGCATGGTTAACAGAATTTTTGTGTTTATTGTTTTCTTTCCACGTGTATTTTATTAAAACACAACAAATCCAACATGGAAGTAAACTGCAACTTTGCTTTTGTTGTTCAAGAAAGATTGTTACTTATGAAATCCTACAATGCCAGATTACTTGACTATTTGATTCAAAATGTATCTGACAGCTCATCTGTTTGCAATAAAGCATCTTGGAATCACCAACAATCAACCTGTTGAAATATTGTGTTACCTTTAAACATTACCAGATATCTCTCCAACTCTAAACTATTGCGCTTCATAAATCTGTGATAACCTTGAGTTCAGAGGTATCTTTACTTTCTCTCTCTTTACAGCTTTCAGATGCTCTTGGTGACTGGCCCCCTGGGGGCAACAACCAATCAGGAGGTCCTTGGCCTGCCAACCCCACCTGGCCAGGTAGAAGCATTCAACTGTTCTTTTGTTGCTTACTGTAGGCTCCTCTGTATTCAGTCAATTTCACCCACTGTACTGAGTGTCTGCTGGCTGTAACACTATGTCAACACTTGAATTGTCTTTTTGCTAATCTAGACATGGCAATAAGCTCTAAAACAAAAATACGCCATCTACCTCCTGCCCTCTGCTTCTGTGAGACAAAGCCATCTGTTAGTCTCAACAAGGTCCCAGTATGCCACTGGAGTCCTCCATTAAATTCCTGAAAGTTTGTGGTGGAAAACTCACAGATTCCCCTGGTGTTTCACCCATGAGGAGAGGGAGCCTCGGGTCTGTTATGGATTAGTTTCTCACCTACTTCAGTCTTTATTTCTGGCAATATTTTGTTTTTTGACAAGAAAACATTATTTTGAATGTATAATGAAAACATAAAAATCCAAGAATTTGTATTCATATTAAGAATGACATTGATTTTTCTTTTGTAATTTTCTTGAGATGTATTTTTCCATCAAATATAGCTTTATATAAAAAAGGTGAATTGATCATTAAAAATGAATGATGGAATTTTGACTCAGGTCAGCCAGCAAACAACCCCACCTGGCCTGGGAGTCAACCTGCTGCCAACCCCACCTGGCCTGGGGGTCAACCTGCTGCCAACCCCACCTGGCCTGGGGGTCAACCTGCTCCCAATCCCACATGGCCTGGGGGTCAACCTGCTCCCAACCCCACCTGGCCTGGGGGTCAACCTGCTCCCAACCCCACCTGGCCTGGAGGCCAATCCGGAGGCAATAGTATGTGGCCAGGAGGGAACCCAAGTCAACCCACTGCACCTGGTTCATATGGACCTGGACAACCTATGCCAGCCGCACCCCAAAAGAATCTTGTAAGAAAACCAAAGAAAATGAGAAATGCATCAAGAAATATGGACAGACAGAGAGATGTGTTAATTAATTTACTTTTTGACAGGCTATTCCCTATCAAGAGAAACTGCCAGGGGGAATGTATGAGAAACTACTGATCACCATCAGGGGAACCATAAAACCCAATGCTAACATGTCAGAAGCAACACTGGGGGTTTAATCAAACATATTTCTCTACTCACTGTCTAAAATATAGGATGCTAAAACTCTGCTTTTGTGTCCTTGTTGCCAATCAGGATCACGGTGAACTTGTCTGCAGGCAATGATATTGCCTTTCACTTCAATCCTCGCTTCAATGAATCTGGAAGAAAGGTTATTGTCAGGAACTCACTCTTCGGCGACAAGTGGGGGAAAGAGGAGAGGGATGGGAAGCAGTTTCCCTTTGTCCAGGGTCAGCCGTTTGAGGTCAGACATTTTATACCATGTTGGGGAATAAAGGTGTCTGTGAATCTACTGCATTTTCAGAGTCTATTTCCCTAACATGTTATTATTACTTTTTGCAGCTGAAGATATTGTGCACCAACACAGAGTTCAAGGTGGCTGTTAACAATTCCCATGTTCTTGAATTCAGACATCGGCTAACCAACCTGAGCTCCATCAACACACTGGGCATCTTCTATGACCTCACCCTTTCAGATGTTCGTGTTGAGAAATTGCAATGAGAAGTCTTTGACATGACCGGAGATGAAAACAAACAAACAAACAAACAAACAAACAAACAAACAAACAAACAAACAAACAAACAAACAAACAAACAAACAAACAAACAAACAAAAGACATTTGGAGGTCAACTGCAAATCTATTTGAGAAATACTGTGGATCTACAAAGATCGAACAAGAATCTTAAAAGAACAAAATTTCCCTTAACCTACAGAAAACAGTCACAAATTCATGAAAACCAAGTTTAGAACAGCTAAGAATCATAGATTTAAGATCTACCAGATCTTTTTAAAACACAGCAAAAATTGTTTTTGCTGGACCTCCAGACTATCAGCTGATCTACAGTGGAGATGATTGTTATTTCTCCAGAACATTTTTAAAAAGTCTCAGTCTCAGTGGTAATCACAGCAGATTATTCTGTTCTGTCGTTTTTCTAGATGATTTCTAAAAGTTCAATCTATTGTCAATCAACAGACATCGACAACAGATTTTAGTTTTGAAAAGTAAGTTGACTCATACCGAATAAAATAAATGGCTGTATTGTTCAGTATCTGACATTAGAAGCCCCGTTTTGACTCAATGTCACATATGCATAGTTTCACATGTAGTTATGAATGGTGTACATTTTGAAAGGTGCAACTGTGATTTTTACAATAAAATGTCATGGTTTACCTAATTCAATGTTCAATTTCTACTTCCTAGGTGAAAAATATAAATTTTAATTTCACACCACGAGATTGAAAAGAAAATATTATTTAGAAGGGTTATGGAAATTAAGTTGTAGGTCAAGTTGATTTGAAAAAGTGTCGTATGACAGTGCCACAGACTCCTTCAAGACAGTGTCTTGAATCAGAGGCTCCTTCAGAACTGATGTAATACAAACCACTACAGTAGATCCTTTATGCCAAGAGCCACTACCATCTACAGCAACTAGATGGTTGAATATGAATTACAGTGTTTAATTTCTCTTTTCAATTAGTAAAGTATTTTTGAACTGAATTGATTTATTCAAGGTGAGATTGTGGAAGCAGTAAACTGAGAATTGAGATGAAGAATCCCTCGATCCATGAACAACATTCAACTGTAGAAGTATATAAAAGTGTTGACTTACTACAAAGAACCTCTAGTTAAGATTTTGGATCCAGATTATTGTACAAACCTTTTTAAAATAAAAAATAAGATCATGTGGAAGAAGAAGAGAAAAAGAAGATAATTAAGACAAAAAGGGAGGCTAAATTAGTTGTCAAATTATTTTTGATTTCATTTATAATTGCTCCTAAATGAAAAAAAAATGACATAAAGCCATCAGATTTCAGAGAAGCCTGATTATTTTCTGAAATGCATCACAATCTACTAGATTCTGATGCATTTTAAGAGAGTTAGGGTCAGACTTTTATCCAATAATCTCTTTTTACACAACAAAATGGTTGTGACTGAATATCAAAGATAACAGACCAATATTTCATTTATTTTTACCTTACGCTTGCTTCCCTTTTAAGTTGTGACGTAATGACGCAGAGCTGCAATTTGACGTATTTTGGTCGTTTACGATAGAGCTGCTATAAAGCCACGAAGCGCGAGCTTTTTAGTAGCCAAGCGCTTTGGGAAGTAAAAAACTTAAACAAGCAGCTAAAATAACTGACCGCAGGTTCGTGTTGGTACAAAAACAGAAACAAACTGAAGAACAGGGGAGTTTAGCTGCTGTTCCAGCTACTAGCCTAGTTTTTTTGTTTTTATTTCCTGTAGCAAAGACGGGGAAACTGTCTTTAGGTAAGTGCGCCTCTTCGACTTGAAATCGTTTAAATTTATGTGAAAACATACGACGAGCTCTTGTATTATTAAATGCTCTGTTTTCCTGCTTCGCTGCTCTGCGCTAGCTAGCCTTACAGCTAACTAGTTTGCTGCGGTTGCAATGGTTACAACTAGTCGCAGCGAACTAACTTGACCAGTTTAAGCGGTTGTTTGCTAACCGTGCTTCTGACACCTCGTTGGCTGTGTATGGATCAGCTGTGGAACACAGCCGTTAACATTCTGAACCCCGAGGAAAGTGGCATAAGCGGGGTGGAGGTGATGAACAGGCCCAGCACTGTCTCGGTTGTTTTCTTCGTACTGCAGACACAGCAGTTGTTTATCAGACTGTTCAGTGCTGTCTCCACAATCAGTGACTTCTTAGCAGGGTTCGTACTCAAGCGTTTGATTTTAGAATTCACAAGGTTGGAGAAACGAGGGAGGGGATACTTCCAGGTTCCTTTCCCTTTACTACTCTCTGTAAAGTAGCAAGCTGTTTAGCTAAACAGCTGGTTATGAAGATGCAGCTGGTTATGAAGATGCAGTTAGAAAAGCAAGTTGTGTGATAAGGAAGTAAAGATTTGCCAATCTCTATCAGTTTCTGTAATAAATGTATTAATAGAATAAAGTGCACCACAATATTTCATAGAATGACACTGAGGAAGTTTACTATCGTCATACCTACACACAAAGTTCAAGCAGAAAATTATTTACATCGATTTTCTGTCATATTTAAAGCAAAAGAGCAATGATTCCTGCTGTTGTCAAAATCATCAATGACATTAATTATTACAGTTATTGTATTAATAACTGTAATGATATTTTTGCTGTTGTTAAACATTTATTTATCACTGTTTTTTTCTGGCGTCTGTGATTTTCAGATACAGACGCCAGAAAAAAATATTGACTAAATATATAAATAATGTCATGGTTGTCATGGTGCAGATTAATGCAGAGCTCTCTGTTGTGCTCAGAAATGATCAACAATCTGATTACAGCATTGCTTTATTAAAGAAAGTTGCATGGTTTTATGTGGAGTCGAATATGATTTGTTACAAGTTCAGGAATGAATCCTGCAGATTAAACCAACCTGTGGACTACAGCTGTGTGAATGCTGAAAACAACGCCTCATATCACAGGCACAACCAAGCCTGCTCCCTTCTAAATGTCTTCTGATGTTCATCTTTTTTATTAGCTGCTGTCACCCTCCAGAAGGTCTCTCACAATCGACACATGCCAGTGGTCCATTCTTTAATGAAATTAAGTTATTTGTGAAACTGTTTAAAACCCAGACTGAATATTTAATGGACCACTTTAAAGTTTCTTTAAAGCATTGAACTATTGATAGAAAACATGTAAATCAATACATTGCAGATGTTGCCTAAACCTGAGAATCTGAAATGTGAAGATGGATACCTGTTGGTGTGACTGTTTTTTTGGTTGGTATAAGGATTATGACCCATTGTTCTCTGTTGTCAAATAATATCTGAACTGTGTGTAGTAAGGCTTTCTGATCTCAAATGTGTGTATCCCGAATTGATGCGGGATACACACATCAAAGAAAAAAGTATTTCAGTTTGTTATATTTTTGTGTTAATGTGGAGTGTGTTTTCGTTTCTGTTTGCATTGGAATTGCAATGCATTTTTTTTTCTAAAGGGAGCAAGAGCAGTACAACATCTAATTCATGACACAAATGAAAGACAAAAAAAAAAAACATTTTAGTAAAGCCAAAATGGAAAAAAAATCACAGTTAAATGAGTCAGAGCCAAAAATTTAAAAACAAAAAAACAAAAACATGATCTCCATTTTTGCGCATGTCCAAGTGCTAAACTTGGTTTTATGAGCTAATTTTTTAAAGAAATGAACACACTTGCATATTTATTGTTGGTGTCCATCAAAAAACACAAAGTCTTAAATTTAGTTGCATTTTGGAAAAATAATGGCTCAAAATAGGCTTTTTTTTGTCTGAAACAATTTACTATTGAAAAAATTTAGGAATGAACTAACTGTTAAATGGAGTATACAAGGAAAAAAAAATCTTATTAAGCACTTGTTGGTATTCAAATACTAACTGGTTAATCCAATAAATAATCAAATCAGTCCCACCCTGTATTAATGCTAAGTTGAGCAGAAAGGGCTGAACTTCTGACACCTGAATATGTTGATAGCTCTAAATGATCAAGCCTTCACTGAAGAATTATTGCATTTTAGGCTACAACCATGTTTGCTTTCTTGTTTTTTTGTGTGCTTTTTGTTTTCTAAAGGAAATGAAGTATTTGTGTATTTAAAAGCAATTTTATATTGTATTAAAAAGGCTTAAAGCTGCTGTAGGTAACTTCAAAAAGAATATATATAAATAAATTTTTTTGCTTATTTGTTGAAACCGACTTGGTGAAGACAGTATGATATGAGATTATCTGTGGGGAGAAAAATAAAGCTCTTTTGCCTTCAACCAGTTCTCCCAACTAGAAACAACCAATCAATGCCAGGAGGAGGGTCTTATTGCTGTCAATCAAGCCTGTGTGTGCACCGCTCACCCTCCACACACATTTAGCAGCCTGTTTAAGACGTTTATTGACAGCGCTAAACCCCTCCTCCTGGCTCTGATTGGTTGTTTTTAGTCGGATCAGTGAGTTTCTTCAGACAGCTCAAAGAGGAGCTGGAGGAGATTGATCTTTTCACAGATCAGCTGTCTGATCACAAACTGTCACAACATGGTGATAGTTTCAACAAATATTTAAAACTTTTTAAAAATAAAACACTATAAAGGAAAAATCTGCAGAATGTGTCAATATTTTTATTTGAATAATCAATAGAATAGTTAATAATTTCAGCCCTACATACTGTTTTAGACCTTTTTTTTTATAGTATTTCGACCATGATGGCAGTATAAAATAACACACCAACAAGGAATGCTAGACTCGTCTAACAAATGGCAAATAATGGGAGTCAATATTTTTTTTTACATATGGTATAGTCACTGAAATATTCAAGTTACAGTATTTGGCATTATAGTTTTAATAAGTGTGTTTTTTTTTTAATAGCTCAGCTCTGTTGGAAAATTTTAACCAACTTCTGTGATGCTTTTCTAAACATGATTTTTATTTGGAGGTTCTGTTCTACTGATAATTTTACCTCTTCACCATTTTCAGTAGTTTTGGTCATTTTGTACAATTATTTAGTTTTTTTGTTTGTTTGTTTCTAACTACTTTAAAGCGTTTCATGCCTTCTAGATGGAGATTTCTGACCTTCTTTGACTGTGAGTGATATGAGTAGGGAATAGAAGCTTCTACTGTGGTGGATTAAGGAACCTTTGGTCTCTCTCCCTCCCCCATCTCTCCAACAGGAAAACTGCATCAAACCTGCTGGGTAAACATGTTCTGTGATCAACTTTCAGTCGTTGTCAGGTAACATGGGTCAGGACAGGTCAAAGGTGAACAGGCAATTAATTTGAGATTGTAGCCACAAACAACTGAACCTGTCGTAACCTTCTCTCTCTCCATCTCCTGATGTGTAAATGATCAGACATGTTAAGCAATGCAGTGAGCAACCTCCTGTATTTTGAGCTCCAGAAAATGCTTTCTGGATGATGTTGTATTGTTCCAAGCTGTTTGTCTTGTAATGTACTCTGAACTGTACACTGAGATGATTAGGGCGACTGTCAGATGCTACGCCACACGCTCCACTCACTCAAATGTGTTGAATGAGATGACATGTCCATCAGATGCACAACCTGTATTTACGTTTTTGTTAGATCTCTTCAGGAATTAAAGGCATAGAATGCAGAAATATATCTGCGTTTCTTTTCCATTGATGGATTTTAAACTTCCTGGCTAATAAATTGGGCTGATATTTGCCTTCTCTAGTGTATAGGCTATTAGCCTGGT